GGCTGCGATGCTGTCAGTGCCCAGTATCACAGCCAATACGATGGTAAGATTCTAATTCAGCTAGCGATCCAGCAAGAAAACAAGCATCGTGTGCCGCAGGCTTTACTGATGAGTCTAGTAGTGTGGGACCAGGACGAAACGCTGCGGCCGACCACGAAGCTTCGAGTTAGTTGGACATTTCCACAAACTCATCAATTAAAAAATTTTGTAAAAATATCATATTCCCATTTCAATTATGAAGTAAGTAAAAATTTCAAAATAGAACTCGAATTTTTTAACTATACCGCCATTTTGAATTTCTCAATTTCGACTTCAGAATCGGAACCAGCAACCTCGAAAACTCCTCAGTATACAGTATCATCCGAATGAAGTGTCACTTTTGCATTTTTTTTTTAAAGATATATACTTCATTTTTTATACTTTTTTCATTCTCGGCGCTGCACCAGTCCGACATTTTGAATTTTCACAAAAGGCCACACGCCATTAAAAAGTAGACACTCCAACGAAAATTTTAAGCCCTGGTTGGTTGAATTCTGTCAAAAATGAAATGGGCAGAAGGGGATTCCGACACGCGGAGAATGCCCCATATATATATACATATATATAAAATTTCAACGTAATATCCTAGTCAGAAATGATAATAGAATCGATTCTATTATCATTTCTGACTGAGATTAAGTTATCATATATTTGAAAAAATTTAAGATTATAATATATGAAGAGCTATAAAATCGTGTTTTGAAATTAAGAAAAATGTATATTTGTACATTTTGAAGAAATTCATAAAATAAATTTATTCATTGTATTGCGCATAAAGGACGTAAAATATCCACACAGAGATAGAAAATTTAATTAACAATGAAAGGTAGCGATAAAATGAATAGCTGTTTCGCATATTATACATTAACACGGCAATACATTTTAGTCTATCTTATTTAGGCACTTATCATATTAGATACGTAATTCCTAATAGATCTTTAATCAGGCTCGTACACGAGCTAGTCTCTAGATACTTAGTGCCTTTCTACGGAGAGGCTTCTTTCTTTTTCTAATCGCACGTTTCCTTTTATCAAAACTAGTTTAGGATAACGTCGAAGAATAGCTCTCACTTCAATCTATATATCACAAAGGGAAGATGATCTCTTCTCCATATAACTTTCAAGGTCCTGCGCGTGCGAGCGGCTCCCACAGTGATATATATGATTGTAATACGTTGTCAGAGTTGTTTAGTCGTCGTGTTGTTGCCGACACGTGGGTAACACGTGGCTACGTACGCACGTGTACGCGCGTGTAGAATCGGCTCTTTGTCGACCGGCAATACCGTATAGCTATGTGTAAGTAAATTACCTTATAGAGCTCCATTTCTTGAGTCTATTTAGAGCGAGAAGTAGCCCGATGAGATAATCGATTCTCGAACGTATATAGTATATTCGTATATATATAGCCCGCCTTTTGCCTCAATCTACGATAAATGCCTCTTAGACTTATACACTCTTTTCTTGCCAAGCAATCCTCTTTTCGATTAATTAAACGTATAGCTTGGCAATATCCACTTTTTTAGAGCGTGACATAGATACTTCCTTTTCATTCTACTGTCCATTTTGCTCACGAGCGTTTGACAAATATCTCTCCTTTATTTAGCTCAATACAAACTTTTTAAAGTAGAAATTGAAATCACATTGCTCTAAGCATTTCAACTTCGCGCTCGTTACAAGTTTAAATATAATATAAAATTTCTAATAATAAAAGATTATGAGCTATCATTGAACTATTGGTGGAATAATGAATACCTAATTAATAGTAATAAAATTATTTATGAGTCATATAATTAATTTTATTATTAGAAAATTTTTGCATTGTATTGTTACACGCGGATATCGATTGCCTCGCTTGATCTTAATAAGAAAACAGATTCAGGATCATCTAATATCTAAGCAAGTAAATTTAGACGCTGTGAAGATTTGATACTTGAAATTTGTTGTTTCTCTTCTCTTAGATGCTAGATAATCTCAAAAATATCTTTTTCTTACGGTGCGAAGTTAATGCGGCAGCTGATGATAACGCTCCTGCTAGCTATTATCGAAAAGATTCTTTTTTTTTCTGGTTTCTTACGAGTTTTACCGCAGTAGTGTAGAGGAGATTAATAGGCACTTTTTTGATCAGTGATTTCAGCAGTAGACTGGTAGTATTGCCCAACTTATCCGATCGCTTTCTACTACTAGAACAGTTTTCCGCTTTCTACTAGAGCAATTTTCCGCTCTTTCAGTTACACGTTACACGTCATTTGACACACTTTCTATATTATAAACACATGCACACGCGTTAACGTGCACTGACACAAGATAAACCAATCTTAAGAATCTGTGATATAGTAAACTAAGTATCTTTCAATATAATAACAACATATTCAACTTTTGGCGAATAAGTTATCCACCAAAATCTGCAAGTATCTCTATAAATTGCTCCTGTAATTCGCGAATACAGCGAGCAACCGAGCGTGTTCGACGATGCTTACGAAAAGTATACCGTAAATGTTGATAAATACTTCGTAAACATTGATGATCACTTCCTTTCGTGACAAGCAATTCGTAGCTCATTAGATGAAAAACGATTTATCCGCCTCGTTTATTTGCATTCTAAGTGTCTTTCGATAGATACAGCTCCTGTTTTTACAGATTTAGCAAGCACTGACATAAACATCCGATATATGCAGGATGTCCCAAAAATGGCAGTTGTTAAAGCGATAAATGATAAAAGATTTATCGGTTTCTCACGAAAATTAAAGGCTGAAATAATTGTTATTACAATACAATGATTTTGAGACATCTCATATAGCGGCATGTTCCAGAGTCCTCAACCTTGGAATATATTTCTACTTAGACCCGTTTTTTGCATACCAAGCAGCCGATTTCAATTTTGTCCACGATTATTTGGCATATTTGTATGATCTTTGCGGAATGAACTATCCGTGTTCTACCTCACGAATATAATAATATAAAATACAATAAATTATCCGCAAGTAGCTTGCGACACTAAGAAATGCAATAAGAAAAGTTACAAACAAAATTCTATTATTATAACGTCTAAATTGTTTAAAATAATTTACTGCTTATATATAAAACATGTGCAGAACTAAGGTAGAACATCGGGACTTCACCCGTTTGCATGCTTACTAACAATTGCATTCTTGCAGTACTATTACGTCTCTCAAAAGATTAACCGTGTTTCCTTACTAACGCATTTGTGTCCACTTGTAACACTTTCGTATACGAGGGAAAAAAGGGGAATAACATTTCTTTTTCTTTTTTTTTTTTATATACATAACAGTCTCGATCAACATATACAGGCTTTGCGACGCAATACAAAATTTGCCCCGCTGCAATACCGTTTACGCTACTGTTTTTTACAATTCTTGCATTCACACACGTTCTCTCGAACGTATACAGTAGTTCGAGATATGGAAGAATTCGCCGTAAAATAGACACAAGTAAACGCACCATCACGGCATGCCTTTTCTCTAGCATGGCCGCCTCTTTATTCTGAGAATCTTTTTCACCGTTTTTTACGCTGTTGATTCTCGACTTTGAATGCTTCCGATCTTTATAAGCGTCTCACATTCTACCACGATTTTTCGAGAGACCACCGACGAGAGGTAACGCTAAGAAAAAAAGCCTGTATGTGCCTGTACATATATGTATATATAGTTTATTTATATACATATGCCAAAGAAACTAAAAAAAAATGAAGAAATAAAAGCGCAAAAAAAAAAGAAAAGAAAGAAATTGTTGATCGAAAAATGAGATCCCTGTCGATCAGCTCTGATAGCTAGTGTGCTTTCGCACGTTTCGCAATTTAGCCATCGGCCTTCTTCAACTGCTTGCTGGACATGGCGGCGGTAAATCACACCGGAAATAATCACGGAGCTGGAAGTAGAGCGAACAGCCTCGAACCGGTGATGCGACCGGCCATAGAAGTGAAGCACGAACGACACAGAGACCACACGGATGAGGAGGAAGGGGCTCTAGGCGTCCTCGCAGCCGCCGAGCACAGACGTCAGCGTAGCATCAGGTATGCAGTTTTTTATGTGCTTCAAAGCAAAATGCATTAAAAATTATTACAGAAAACATATAAGATAAAATAATAATATAAAAAATAGTTTTTTCCCGTTTTTCGAAGAAACTCAATTATATTACTTTTGAAGCAAGGGAACAACATAGAAAAATCGGAATTCATATAATTGTATCACGATAACTGGATTAATGGGTTTCAAAATTGATGCTTCGTAAATTACGGGAAAGAGTTAATAATTTTATTATGTTTAGTAATGTGTTTAGTCTATTTATTGTCAGCATATTTCTTTATCAAGAATATACCAGGATAGCGATTACTTTGATTTCAGAAACAAAAAGGTGAACTGGAAGATGTCTCGCCAGTACGATATACTAGGCAGCAGCGGAGAGAGTAGCCAGGGAGGGGGTGGGTCTGGGGTTGTACTCGTAGTTAATGGCGAGGATCGCGCCCCCGAGCTAGAGCCATTGCTGGCCGAGGTGCCCTCCCAGCGGGATGATCAAAACAACTACTACCACGACCATCACCATCACGACCAATACTACTACGATACCGACAATGATCAATACTATGACCATCACCAATACTACCACCACCACCATCACCATCATCATGACCACCGACCACCCTCGTACTACCAACACCAGAACACCTACGCACCTCGCTCCTCGATCCGTTACCACAAGGTGTCGGCTCGGTTCAAGATCAAAAGATTTTCCTCGGTTGTTCGAGAATGTCCTCTCTCCCTTGACCCTATCGGAAGTAGATTGCGATAAAAGAAGCCGGAAAAGACCCTGTCCGTTATCTCGCTCGAGATGTGGTCACACATTAATCGTGATTATACGAATCGTGTATACGATACGTTTAAGATGTGTTAGTTCTGTAGCAAGTACAAGATGTTTCTGAACCGAAATGCTCTTATTTCTTTGAGATCTTTGGTCTTTTTTCTGGAATTGACGTTATTTTGATTGAAAAAACATGACATTATCTTTGATCATTTTGACTATAAAATTGATAGATTTTGAATAATAATATATCAATTTTTATTCTATTAAATTTATTTATTTAATATAAAAACAGGTTTTTGCATTAGAGAATATTTCATATTTCATCATCTACTAAAATCACTATTTTTGTCTCTTTTTAATAGTACAAAATATCCTTGTCTATACGCCAAAGCATTTACTGTTGATATCGGTTGTAATGCGTAAAAATTTTAATAATTTAATATATATAATGAAAATTGATTAAAACTCAGAAACATCCTGTAATCGAATATAGATCACGTAGATTGTTCTATTTTATCTGAAAATAATTCTAGATTACAATTTCGTCTATTATCGCGAATTTGCTCTGCTACATTGGTCTAAATTAGGATGCTATCTCGCACTTAGTATTGTAATTAATTGTGTCACCAAAAGTATTTTTAGAAAATGTGATCTTCTCCCAAAAAGTTCTTGTAATGAGATCTAGATAAATGAAGTACGCTCTTAGATAAAGTTAGTATGAAATTAGATTTCAAAAAACAATTAAACCCCCGCTAGACAAACCGAAAATATTTATGTTTAAATTAGATTAGGACGAATCGTCTTAGATAAGCCAGCCATTCTCTACCAATCCAAGTTTTAAATTTTCCAATCCTGAAAGGATAATTATTCAAGAAATATGGCGCGGATCGAGAGGTATTGCCCGTGATGTCGTGATCTTAAGCGCTCAAGACCGATTCGCAGTAGAATTGGACGAAATTTTAATTTGCATTGGACGGACCATGTGCTCTCACTACTTATCAGTATTGTGTAAATTTCCTTCAGTGTTCGCTGAAAGAATCGGTCTTGGCCGAATCGATCTGGATTTCGTTGAGTGTTAGTGCTCCTGTAAATAATAATAACACCTAGAAAGACAACGCTCTAGCGTGAACACCACATAGAGAAATAGTCACATGTGTCACCCGAAAGGTCTTAGCGACTCTTCTCGTGTTGATGCATAGAACAGTTCCCACCCCCTTGTCCCTTGCTGCTTTCGGCCTTAGGATTATCGCTGGAGCAACGAAGCAGTCAACACGATCGCACGACTGCCTCGTTCTCCTCATCTGTAATGTTTTATCTTGATTCTTTATGTCCACGTCCTGGTAAGTAAGTAAGATAGCACACTCTTGCGAGAGAGACTCCCGTCTCGAAGATAACGGATACTTTCCTTTTTCCAATTAAGCGATCGGAACTTATTACCGAATGCATGTGCATGAGCGAGACTTTTCTAATTTGCATGCCATTCAACACACACATATGTATGTATCTCTGTGTGTAAATTACTTTTATTCCGCCTTATCTCTTAATTTCTCCTGACTTTTTGCGAAGCTATATTTAACTTTGTTAGTCACAAAAGTGTACGCTAAAAATTACAAAGAGAAGCAGATCGCACGTGTCTAAAAAAGTATCGTTTTACACATAAATTTTATCTCGTGTTCTTCTCGTGTACTTGATCGATGTAATTATCACCATAGTATTAAATTACTGTGATATTTTGCGATAATAAAATTGGTAGCCAATGTAAAATTTTACCAATGCTATTAATTTTATTAATAAAAAAATAAGTTAAATTTATTCAATTCTTACTTTGATTTTAATCTATTATAAATTGCTCGTATTCCTCACTACATTATGCATATGAATAATATTTAATTAATCATAGGTCTCTAACCTAAATGAGCCAAATGATAAGTCAAACGTGCGTCTGCTTTTGAATTCCGGAGACAAAAGGCATCTCGATAGTCGTGTTACAATAGTTCCTTGTTCGGAACGCGCAAATCGACAGCGCGATATTGCTAAAGACAAAGAACCGGCAACACCCCGACTTCCCAATTCCCAATCCGATTCTGAATTACGCAGACAAACTACTAAGTCGAAAGTCTGTTCTCGTTTAGGAGTTGCAAGACGTCATACCGTCCGACTCGCGTGCTGGTAGCCTCGAGAGTCTCACGCATCCTGGTGATAGAGTCCTTCGTCCGCATCCCTCGGCGCTCCTCTCTAGACGTTCACGATCACCAAGTATAAGGTATTGGGTATAGTATGTAAACAAAAAAAATTTCGAGAAAAAAAAGTCACGCTATATATATGTATACATACACATCGCGTGCAAATTTATTCGTATACGTATGTGTACGAAGAATTCCAAAGAAGGATCATTTGACAGCCAATTGTAGTCCAAAATATACAGTAAAAATATTGTATTTGTATTAAAAGCCGGTCCACTCAAGTCCTTGTTAAAAAAATTTTGTGTTGAATCTTTAACGTATTCGAATGTTAATTTAATATAATATGATTATGTTATTTAAATATTTTATGTTAAATTAATGCATTTAACGTTTCTTAGTGTCAAAATAACGTAATTTTGAGTAAGTGAAGGAATAACATAAAAATAATGTATTTTAAAACATAAATTCTAAAATAAATGAATATAAAATACGTATTAATTTAACATATCATAAATGCTAATTTTACTGGAAAAACATATAGTTTTGCTTATATATTGTATCAATGTCACGGTTTTTTGAATTAACTGTTGTACATAATATTTGTAGTAATGTATTCATTTTATGTCAAATTAACACAAAAATTTGAGTGAACCGTTTAGGACACGTGAGATGTATTAAATTTAACACAAATTTTTGAACTGTGTTTGAGAAACGAATGAAATCCGAAAATCTAATGTATTTCAAACTATAAAATGAGAAATTAATGAAAGATATATTCCAGTAAAATATTATATATATAACATTAAACTTGAGGAAACTAAACTTTAGTATATTCCAAACTACTGAATTAAGGACGATGTTTAAAGACACTGATGTCTTCGATTTTCCAATACTTGATCGTTATAGACATGGCTAACGTATTAGCTGGTTTATACATACTACATGACGTGTCGTGATTTTCTCATTCGTTGTTGTCATAATTTGCAGAAGACACTCGCCAATAATGCCTAGATCGCCATCGCCAAGGCGACAAGGCCGGTACGACCATCATGGTCATTACCACGACGGACCAGGGTTTAGCGACACCGTTAGCAACGTCGTCGAGATACAAAGGCACACTCATCATCCCCATGCGTCACAATATAATCATCGGCATAGGATACGAGGTACGACGTACCGGCGATAATTCCGACCAGCGAAAGCCACGACGGTGCAACGATAAGTCTTTTTCACGGAACCACGACAGCGAACTCTGTTTCGTGTTAGTCATCCCCAACCGGTTTTTCTATCTCGTTGTCTTTTATCAGCCTGGAATACTGCGAACACAGCATCCTTGTATTTACTCTATCACCGTATCACCGATATACCTTCATTCTCTTGGTGTTATTTCTATTATATAATTATTATTAATTATTATTGATTATGATTATCTCCAACCGGCTTGGTGATATATTTATCGTTTCAGAAGTCACTAAAAAAATAGCGCCATTATTTATTTACCGTTCTATTGCATTCTTGAAAATTGTCAATTGCTAAATTTTGTAGTTAGATTACAATCTGTTTGGCGTTCAGCGGAAGCAACGAAAGAGAGTTCGTGGTCACGGTTTTATAAAAAAACATGAATGTTGCTATAATGTTGATTTTACTCGAGGCAGAAAAGCTCTGTGTGATACTCGATGTAATACGTTTCTTCGTTCTGTTCTGTTATGCGCCTACACAGACTATTACGACCACTGCGACTATTACGACGATGGTAATTTCTTTCACAACTCTCCTCTTCTTCATTCCCTTGTCTCCACGATGCAATTATGATGTTACTACATAATCAATACGATCGTTTGGCTTTCACTATTTCTTCGTTCCGTTTTACAATGATACGCATTCACACGTATACTCACACACAAACACATGCAAAAGACATCACGAAATGTCAACGCAGTAGAAGTTTTCAAACAATTAATATGTACAACACTAATATAGCATCAATGTTCAACACGTTTTCATCAAAAGCGTTTCTTTTCTGATTGTTACTCGATGCTTTTTACATTAGAAACGCCGTTGAGATTGTCAAGTAGCTTTATCAATCAAGAAAATTGACTAATCGATCGTTGTAGGTAGTATATCCTATATTGGATCGTTACTATAATATGTTAATATGTTAATGTGTAATTATTTTCATAGTGTGTTCAGTTCTTAAATACAATCCACAAATCTTATTTTATATAAATAGTTAACGCGGTATATATGATTTAAAAGACAACATTTATATGTCAATCGTGTTTTTACACATCAGCGTGTTTAATTAGTTTGAAATCCTACTTTTTAAATAATTATATTGTTACGTCCTTGTGTCTCTTCACAATATATGGTACTTGATTGATACGAGACCGTGATATGAAGCAAAAATCATCATTTTTAGAATTGATAAACAATTAAATAATAAACAAAAAGTCATCTGAAAATCTACGCGGATTTCGTACGCGTTGTTCACAGCTTTTTCAATCATTAGTCGTCGCATTCCGTTAAATTATGTTCTGTTGTGTTTCATGGAATTCCACATGATATCATTACGATCGCCTAAATCAATTTCTTTCATTACCGCGTATGGAAGTGAATTCATAAATGGCGCTCGGGCGTAACGATATGAATTATAAAACGCTACAATATATTGAGCATAATTTAGTTTGTCTGCAAGAATTAGAAAGATAGAGGATTTTGCACACTGTTAAGATAACGCAACTGTTATAAAATTGTCACGATTATTGATGCACCCGTAATTTAATAATTAGTATCGTAGAATGTATGCGCATGCTACGTTAGATGCCTCATAGAATTTGAACACAGTTAATATTTAGAGCACCGACACCGACATGTGTTTGCATTATACCGATTCGAGTGATTTCACAGCATTACAAACACGAAATACTACAAGCATGTTGCATTAATCCTCCTTCGGATTTGATAATTTCAAGATAACTAGCACATATTATTTGATATTTTTTTATTAATTTTCAAAAATTATATTACGAGTCATAATGATTAATTTCGCAAAATGTAGAAATAAGAAAAATATTACAGAAATGTACTCCATTATTAAATTAAGTTTTCATTACTACACATTTAATAAATATAGTTGATATTCTTCCTTGAAAAAGAAATAATAATTAGTCCTAAAGGATTAATCAATATTAATAGAGCTACATTATATTAATAGTCATTTATTCGTCAATCCTGAATCCTTTCCGATAAATCGAGCTCTTCGAATTTCGCACAGAGACCGAGTGATTGAATCTAGATTAATTTTATTTCATCGTAAGTCCTTTAATTAGACAATCGAACGATCAGTAATATTGAAAATTGGTAACATCCGAAAATTGTCCGGTCCCCAATATCCGTATCGGGTTCCTAATGGCTTTTCAACACATGCTTACGAGTTACTTGTCGAGCAACCCTTGCGCCGTGTGTCGAAAAAGCCCCGCCGCAACGATTGTGCCACGCGTACACAGTACAGACAGAAGATTTTAATAAGCGTAATTATTAGGTCCATGGAGCGCGTCGACGAGTCCGGCCAGGTCACCAAGTCCGGTTCACAGGATCGAACGTGGTGGCCATTATGGCACGACGAGTCTGGAGCAGCGTTCGAGGAGCCCGAGCCCGATAGGCAGTGGTCGTCCGCGTCATCATCGCCATCATCCGCATCAACACAGCTATCCGGTGCTGGTCGCGAGAAGAGGCCAGGGTCGTCGGCTGCCCCCGACGCCGAACAAGCCATCGACCCTACAGCTGAAACCGACCAACATCAACTTTCCCAAGCTGAATGCCTCGCCTACTCACGGACCGCATGGCGTGGCACCGAGTGGACTGACCCACGTGCCAGTGGGACCTGTATCCGGTCATGTTCTGCAGCATCCACATCCGCCGTCGCACATTCCACCTTCCATGCAGTCGAGTCATCATCCGTTGAGCTTCGAGCAGGCTGTCGCGATCGGCCGCGGTCGTTTACTGCCCAGCCCGGTGCCCAACGGTTACAAACCACAACCGCAATCCAAGCAAAGAGCACCTAGGTAGAAGAAGATTTTACCATCTCTATTTCGAATAACCTTATTTTTTATCATTATTACAATTAATTATTCTTACTATTTCTTAATTTTTGTCTACTTTTTCTTAAAGTATTTTTTTTAAGACCTCTATTCTGTAACTCTTAACGACAGTGTCGTTAAAAGTTATACAATAGAAGCTTATATTCTAAAGTTCATTGATTTTACTAGATTATATAGTTTACAATTGTCTTAATCCACTTGTCAACACATTTTTTAAATACATAACACAGCCACACAAAGAAAAATTTTTTTTTCGGCCTGGGTATTTGACTATGGGTGCGTTCCGTTTCTCGCATGATGCGCATAATGCATCGTTTATCCTTGTTGCTTACCAAATGTTAAACAAGGACAATGGATGCATCATGCGCGATACGGAACGCACCTTATGTATACTGTATGTTTTTGGGGTCGCTGAATCCGAATCCGAGGTCGGTTTAACCCCAGCACGTCAGGGTTTGGCCATAACCTCAAAAAACACTCCAAAATCCACTAAAATCGTTAAACCCGATATTCTCAAACGATTTTAAACCTAAAACCCGGTAACTCATCGACTCTTCAACTGAATTCATAATCCCATAAGCCTATAAACCTATAACCCCATAACCTTATGACCCCATAACTCTGTACTGAAACAGTAAACTGGTAAATACTGAAACTGTTGAACTCTGTATAACCCTATATAACATTTGTAGGACCGTCAGCATTAGTATTACCCAATGTACACCGCGGGGAGGTTGCATGAACGGATTTTGTACATCATACAGCCCTTATAAGAGCTGTTTTGACATAAAAACAAAGCTTTAGTCTTTTTTTGAGCTGTATCGCGTTCTCTTGTTTTCAAATGATCTGTGCAATGAAGTACGCTTTCGTTTCCAACTTTCCGTCGATTCTCTCTTTAGCGTCCAACAAAAATCTGCCATCATGTTAACGTCCCATCGTCCCTGATACCGAGTTTCCATGACCTTAATATCTTGGTGGAATCGTTCTCCCTGTTCTTCACTAAAGTCCCCAAGGTTCTCAGGAAATATATCAAGGTGGGAATCAAGAAAATGGAGTTTTAAATTCATGTTACATTTAAGCTTCTGAAAGTCCGAAATCATTTTTTCAACTATTTGTTTATAACTATTTGTTTATAACTATTTGTCATCCACGAATCCCTAGTTGATCCAAGCAAAATTCTTATCCCTCCCCTTCACATCAAGCTTGATATAATGAAGCAATTTGTTAAAGCGCTCGATCAATCTGGAGCCTACTTCGGATATCTCGTTGACAAATTTCCGAAATTGTCTGAGGCAAAATTGAAAAAAGGGGTTTTCGATGGCCCTCAGATCAGGACGATGTTCCGAGATACTGCTTTAACTAGCACAATGAATCAGAAAGAAAAAAACGCCTGGCCAAGCTTCAAAGCAGTTACTCAAAATTTCCTCGGGAATAAAAAAAAGCCCCATTATAAACAAATAGTTGAAAAAATGATTTCTGACTTTCAGAAGCTTAAATGTAACATGAATTTGAAACTCCATTTTCTTGATTCCCACCTTGATACATTTCCTGAGAACCTTGGGGACTTTAGTGAAGAACGATTCCATCAAGATATTAAGGTCATGGAAACTCGGTATCAGGGACGATGGGACGTTAACATGATGGCAGATTTTTGTTGCGCACAGATCATTGCACAGATCATTTGAAAACAAGAGAACGCGATACAGCTCAATAAAAGACTAAAGCTTTGTTTTTATGTCAAAACAGCCCTTATAAGGGCTGTATGATGTACAAAATCCGTTCATGCAACCTCCCCGCGATGTACATTGGGTAATACTAATGCTGACGGTCCTATAAATGTTATATAGGGTTATACAGAGTTCAACAGTTTCAGTATTTACCAGTTTACTGTTTCAGTACAGAGTTATGGGGTCATAAGGTTATGGAGTTATAGGTTTATAGGGTTATGGGGTTATGAATTCAGTTGAAGAGTCGATGGGTTATCGGGTTTTAGGTTTAAAATCGTTTGAGATTATCGGGTTTAACGATTTTAGTGGATTTTAGAATGTTTTTTGAGGTTATGGCCAAACCCTGACGTGCTGGGGTTAAACCGACCTCGGATTCGGATTCAGCGACCCCAAAAACATACAGTATACATAGTCAGACACCCAGGTCGAAAAAAAAATTTTTTTTGTGTGGCTGTGTAATCTATCCACTTCGCTTATAACTATAATAACGAGTTCTGATTAAACGAATAATGTTTTTGAGCAGGTCGAGGCACTCGGACAGTGACGAGGACGATTGGTGCTAGCCAAAGTGGGACCCTGGACGGTGGTCCGGTGACGTGGACGCCCCCAGGCGTCTCAGGGTTTGTGCATGATAGTCGTCCACGTGGGACGCGCGTTGATTTCGATATGAAAGTAATGGAAGAACCGCAGTCGACGAGCTCGAAGCTCCTGGAGGTTTCCTCCAGATTTCGACTGGCCGAAGAATAGCTTCATGAAGGAGTTGTTCCAGTTACGGCATTGCGGCGAAAGAGATCTAAGAGAATTGAAAACAAGGCAAACGATTCCAGGCGGACGATTGTTCGGAGCGATTTCCGGTGGCTAAACACGGCGACCGAACAGGGTCAGCAAATACTATATAGAAATCGATTTCTCGCGCACAGGAGAAATCGGCAGAACTATCACTCATATATTGACGTCGCATGAATCCGCGAACGAGGAAGAGTGCGACGTACGCGATTCTACGAATTGATCGAGGTGCAATCAAATGGCTGAGCTCGATGAATCTCGAAGATCCGATTTTGGAGCCTGGAGATCGGGTCAAAAGTATCGGGAACGAACGATCGCCTGATGCGAGGGATTTGAAAGATAAATTCTATTCAATCGCTGTAGTCGAAGACGCTCTATATTGGTGCGAACGACGCATGATGAAGCGAAGATGGATCTCTCGAGATCGCGAGCGACGTCTACGTCGAGAGACAAGGTGGTAGGTTGCAGTGAAACTCGTCGTGAATGACAGTGATTGATTAATGAGCGGACGTTCCAGGAGAGCTCGAAATCCTCCGATATTATATTCGCGAGTTAATATTTCGATCTTACCTCGGCTTGATCGAATGAAGACCGTCTCGAGGAAGACTTACTTTTTATACAATTTTCCGGAGGAGAGACTCATCGAACGCCCGAATTGCGCTGTGATCACCACGAAACGTTCTCTTACGTGCGTGTGCATTTATGTATGTATGTATGTTCGTATGATCTTGTGCGTGCATGCATAAGAAAACCCCCTTCCCCCATAATTAGTCAGAAATCGCGACTGATGTACCGAATCATTCCACTTCCACTCGTGAAAGCGCCGATTAAATAATGTTAATTGTTCAACGACGACAATTGAAGGACAATTGAGGGAGACTGAAGCGAGAGAATGGAAAGACGAAATGGTAGTTATATAGTTTCAGGATTTGATAAGGTTTACATCGTCACTTTCAATTTTGAAAACTAAAAAATTAAACAAAATAATTTGAAATGGCGATGTTTTATTTTGAAATCTGAAAATCTGTTTTGTATTTCTTCGCTTCGCTGTAAGCATCGTTGGACGATTCGTCGGGAAATTCAGCCGTGCGAACAGAACGGACTGCCAAGCGGGTATTTCCTAATGAATAAACAAACCAATGAGAAAAGAATTAATAGGATTAGAAATTAGATTGAAAGTCGAAACAAAAGATTCTAATAATTCTGCCAGGATTTAGGTCACCTCCATTTTGCCATTGACAAAATCCCATGAACTCAAGATCCTAATAAAATGCGAATAATTAGAAATCGCTTCGCCGAGAGAGAGAGAGAGAGAGAGAGAGAGAGAGAGAGAGAGACGCGAAAGAACCGTTACGAGATACCAATCTTGTTCACAGTCGCGGTTCTTGTGAAATCAAAATGCGAGACGATTGTAGTTATTGTAAGGGTAAACTCAAGAAACAGAAGGAAGAAGAAAGCGAACGTAAATGTCGTCGTTAATTCGCGCGGATGTTGCTTCGCAATTAGTGCCAATCAACAGTGACTGGTAAAAAGTTCAGGAAATGAGGATCACGATCGAGAAATGCACAATTGGAATACGGGGTGAGAAGGGTGAATAATTTGTTGGGGGGGGGGGAGACGCGTAAAAGGGAAAGACAGAAAGAGAATCAATGACGCGGAGAGATAAATAATTCTTACCATACAGTTTTCAAAAGCACTCCTGTAAATTACTGCGTATAATTGAATTACAATACTTATTACTTATCACTGCTAATACCGTTATTAAATTAACACCTGCAGAAAAAGAGATGAAAAACAGCTACTTCACTCTACTATTACACTATTACTAACTACTGCTACTACCATTACTACTATATTACGATTTATTACCGCTACTACCACTACTATTACTGTTACTATTACTACTACTATTGCTGCTACTACTATCACTACTACTATTATTCTATTACTACACTACTATTACTAAACTATTCTACTATCGTCGCTACTAACGCTGTTTACTATCATTACTGTAATATTAACAATAAGTGTGCTAATTATCGAAGCGCGCGCGATTCGTGAAAAATAAACGAGAAACATCACTTTACATAATTAATTTGTCTTCAAACTTCGTCGTCAATCGTACGTTTATACGACGGACGATAAGAGAGTAAAAAAAAATAGAGAAAACTCGAGAGAATCATTCGCAAAACGAGAGCTTGCTAAACAAGCACACGTATCCGAAAAGAGTGAGTACGTAATAAAAAACGTACGTGTGAGTACGTAATAAAAAAAAAGAAGAGAATCATTATATTATACATAAAGACATTTTTAACATACTGCCAATCGAGGTGTTTTAAGGAAACACACACGAGAATACGTAGGTGTACATAAACGTACGTTTCTTTTTTTTTTCCCTGCGACACGTATAAATATTACGATATATCTGTACGTAAGTAAATGTATATATCCGGTGAGCGAAAGAGAGGGAAAGAAAGCGGAAGACTGAGTGAATGGATGTAAGATAATTGAATCGATAAGTTTGAGAAGCGAGGCAATTCGGCCATTACGATAATCATGTCATCAGATAATATATTTCTTTACAAAGCATTTTATTCTTGTTTCGCTACTTTTATTTTTATATTTATTTATTTTTGTTGTCAAAAATAGCTTTGAGAAAAATGTTGGAAGAAACAGCTGACTTACTTCGTTTCTTAAATGTTTCGATTGATTTCAAATGCGCTGTTCTGTACTTGTTTGCGTAATTTTCGTGTATCGGCTAAGTCAAAATAAATATTGCCACTACGTAATGTATAATTAATGTAAGTAGCTAATTCGAAAAAATGTATGCATGCAACGGAAAAATTCACATAGGAAGAAAGAATGAAGTGAAAAAAAGAAAGAATGATTGATTTTCCAACGTGATCGGCATATAAAGATCCTTGGTGAATGAACGGGCGTTAATCATCGAAATTGTTTGTATTATTCAGCGATTAAAAATTCAACAATATATAATAAGA